CACATACACATGCACTTGAAAATGGTTTTAAAATTTCCATCAAAATTATTTGTTTTAACTAGTTTTATCTTCCTTTAAAACTTGTCCTACATTGGAAAATTACCAAACTTTTTTTTTGGATTTTTGAATAAGAGTTTGCTTACATTCCTTATAAGTATAGAGAGGAGAGTATAGAGATTTGCTACTATGCAATGTATGTGTGATGCAATGAGGCACACTTTGCTCACACCCATGCGGTTCGCATGAAATGATCATATTTTTAGTGTGATGATACTTGGTGTGATGAAAAGGTTTGCGGTGATACAGTATGAAATTGTAGATTACAATTTTGCAAAATTGCAAGTTATCTTATTTTTGAAATTGCAAATCGCAAGTTAAGCCTTTTGAGAAATCACAAATTGAAAGTTATGTGATTTGCAAAATCGTAAAGTTGCAAGTTACGACTTGCAATTCGCAAATAGTGACTCGAAAAAATCGCATCTGGTTCGAATATACATAAGGGTGCATTTGAGTCTCAGGGACCGAACCATGAACATTGATGTTTTAAATTAATCTAATAGTCATTACTTGATTAGGTGTGAACATTCGTAGAATTTGAATTTGTGATTATACAAAGAGCCTCTTTAGACGACACACCCTTCTTTGTGATGACTCTCTAAAACTTATAAAAGGGTGAAAACCAAGCAGATTTACACACAAGCTTTCACTAATTTCTCACTAGAAATCACTCTTGTCTCTCTTAGTCTAATCTTCTACTATCTTACAAAAGACAATGTCTTTGGATACACCTTAGAGCTTATCCTCCAAATTGTGTAACTCCAATTTTTCTAACACAGTAGAGATATATGCTGGTCGAGGAGGAGTTGCATTGTGTCAACATAGATTGATCTAACTACAAATTGACATGTTGGGTCTTGAATTAGTCCTAACCGCCAATAGGGTTCCAAAGCAAGCAGCAATAGCCATTGGACAATATAGAATTAGATGATCAATAATCCCTAGAATGCTTCCACAAAGAATACAATATTTCTCTTGATCATATGTGAAGTAAAGCAATGACAGGGATTACAATGGGGAATGTTTCCTTAAACCTTTGTTGATAGTTGGGCACAATATTGATCTCCTATAATCATGAGTCAAGATCACAGAGAAGGTGATACCTTGATCTTAAAATCCATGCGACATTAAAATTCTTGCAATTTTGTCCATCATGCCTTTACTCTAAGGCAAAGTCTAATGATCAAGATACAATAGCAATGAAAGCATCAAAAAGAGTATAGAGGCAGTAGTAGTAGTAAAAACATCAAAGAGAGTAGAAACCAAATATACTAACATTCTTATCACTTGAGTGCTGAACTGCTGATTGATAAGGTAATTATGATTGAGGGTTTCTATCATCAACAATGCAATGTCAGTCATAAAACTAGGGATTTAAGAGTGAATGTGAAACTTAATAACTTGCCCATTCTTGATAATCCATCTAAGACCAATTCCTAACTAGTTGTGACACAATAGATGTTAAAAAAGATGGGATTAAGGATGTCTAAATATATTAAAAATGATGTGTTCCTCTAATTTTATCGCACTTTAAAAATACATTTTCTATCAAAAGTCCCCATTCTTCCATAACTTGTATACATTTTTTGTCGACAATTTGAATTTATCAATATACGCATAATGTGTATCTTACAAGCTATTGACCTACAGATTTAAAACTTATCACAGGGGAATTATCAAGGTTTGAGGGTGCACATGGGGTACAATAAGCTTGCCATGAAGAACTTGCATGTGAGGATTCTTGTGACCATCTTAGCTATTTGGTTATTTACATCATGAGAGGTAGAGGACATGAATAGAGATGACAACAACTACTGTCAATGGTATCTGAAAACCCAAGATCTGATGCGACATCTGATCCGATTATTTTGGATTTAGATGATATGTAATCGGATTGGATTTGGATGTTACAATCTACATTTGATTAATAATAAGATCGGATTTGGATTTGATCCATTCGATCCGATTATAATATAGCATTTATTAATTTTAATATATAAGCTTTATATAATTATATTTAAAATTATAAAAATATATTCTATATATTATATTATATGTGAATTTATGTATATAATAAATTTAGTGTGTTATATTTATATTAATTTATTATATATAAAGGTAAAAAAATAAGTAAAATTTTCAAGATTTCTGATGTTTTAGAAAATTTGTAGCGGAGTCAGATTAAATCCGTTAGGATTCAGATTTGAATCCGAGTCTTTAAATCCTATTGGATTCAGATGTATGCTATTAGTAATCGGATCGGATTTGGATTTTGTTGCACCTGATTTGAGTCTGATCTGATTACAACCTTAACGGGTTGGATTTAACTGACAAAATCGATAAGTTTTGTGGTTTGTGTCTTGATTATCAAGGTTTTGGTTTGGGATTGGTTCTTGCTGTTTCAAATCGATTAACATCGGAATTAATTATCACGGTTTCGTGGTTTGTGTCTTGATTAATAATTGGGTTGGGATTGGTTCTTGCTGTTTCAAATCAATTAAGATCCGAATTAATTATTTAGTGAATAATATATAAAAGGTCTCCTAGTTTTCTTGTAGATTTTATTATATTTTGTGTCTAAAAGGATAAATTTCATATATAGTGTATAAGACAACTTTGATTGAAAACACTTCCTTTATCAACATATAAATCATTTACTATTCTCTATCATTTTTATTAAGATTATATTATCGAAAAGAAAGTTCAAAGTTGTTGTTATCATAAGTAATTAAAGATGTCAAATATAATCTGGTCTAATTGAGTCAAAACCGGACCGGATTGGATGGTCGGACTGGAAAAACCAGGAATCGATTAGGACTGGTTCCGTTTTTCCCCAAAATCAGATTTTTGCCAAAACTCGTTGATTTTGGTCAGCAAACCGCTAACCCAGCAAATAACCATTCGAATGGTTTTGACCATTTTTTATTCTTTTTATTTTTTTTTAATTTTTTGTCAGAACGGGCCGACCATTCGATTTAAAGAGTCGGACCGTTCGACCCGATAACCAGACCCCTGACCGATTTATACTCTGAATCGATTTTAAAAACCTTGCTTATTAATAATTGGTTTGAGACTGCTCCATCCTGTGCTAAACTATACCTCACCCATTGACAACTCTAATCATGAATTGTTTTTCTGACTATAATTTAAAAACCAAATAGATATGGCATATTGGTATTTTCTACTCCTTGGTTAACTTGTAAGAAATCACTCCTTGTATTGAGGAGTCAAGCGTAGGCTTTGTGCATTGTGTGCTAGTGGGCCTTGTGTGCACTCTATCACTAACCCTACAAACCCATTGATTAGATCCAGCATACAACATATGACCCCTATTACCCAAAAAATAAAAGGGGAGAGCATTGAAGACGGATTATAAAATGTTTTTTTGTCATGGGGTTTAATTTATTTTATTAATTATCATGGTTTCATTGCTGTTTTCTGAGAGAAAATCGCCACGTTAGAGATTCTCAAAAACAACAAAAAATGCATCGTGATATGCTGTTTGGTTAGCTGATTTCTTTGAAAATAACAAAAAAAAAAGTGCATCACTCGATTCTCAAAAGTTGGCCCGCATCAGGAAACATCATTTTGATGTTTTTTTTGCCTTTCTCAAAATGTTGCAAGGTATGATTACTAAAGTGATTCCGACATGGCGCTGTATTCAATGGAACCAAACACTGCCATTTTATGAGAAAACACCAGCAATAAAACCAAACACCACCTAAGTAATTGAAAGTATGTTGTTTCGGCCCGTTCCAATGTATTCCCTTCCAGTGCCCTAATATATGGATTGGCAATAGATCTGCTCGAAATAACACAATACAAAATTTTCTATGTCCATGGAGATAGATCGGCAATTTCTAGCTAATAAGGTTTATAAAAGAACTAGATTAGGGTTTTGTCCTCTATACTTACAGAATGAACTGATTTTTTGGTTTCATTCAAGTTCTAACCTTATAATGATCTCATGAAGAATGTGAATATGGGTGATCAATCCCAATTGAGTATGGACTTGAGGTATAGCACCTTCAGCAGCAATACCAGCGCTGATTCGAAGCTAGATTCATGAGCCTCATGAGTCAAATTTTATTAGGTTCGAGTTTGACTCGATTAATAAATAAGCCTATATATTGGATTTAAACTTGATTCGAAGTTTGATTTAAACTAAACCGAACCAAACTCGAATAACTCATGAAAAACTTAACTCGTATCCACTCCTAGTTCCAACCTTATAATGATCTCATGAAGAATGTGAATATGGGTATGATCAATCCCAATTGAGTATGGACTTGAGGTTAGCACCTTCAGCAGCAATACCAGTAATACGGGGGATTAATTCCTTGGGGCATTTTCGCAAAATGTATTGAGAAGGGTTGGGGGGAGGGGGTCGAGGGAAAACTATATTTATCTAGCCGGATCAACTGCAATTGGTCTAATTATTTATTTTTAAATCAACTTATTAAATAATTTTAAAGTGAAAATAAAACCCTTCTAATTAAGTCTTTGATAAAATCCATCAATATTACTCTCTCTAATAATAAGACCATTATTAACCTCCTTGTATGTATGTCCAATAGTATTTCCTCCATCTCACTAATATCTAATTTCATCTTATTAAATCTCTCAACCCCAATTTGCTTCTCTCTAATTAATAAAATAGGAATATAAATTAGATAGATTGAGTTAGTTAAGGATCAATCAAAGGCCAACCCTAGCCTGAACCCAGGTTGATCTAAAAACCCAAATTGATTTGTCAACCCAAACCTAACCAAATATCTGTAAACCCTATGATGCATTAATGAATGAGTTTAATTGCTACTAGCACATTTTTTCTTTTTATTTTCCTTTGTAATATATAGGGAAAATAAAAGTAAAGAATAACTAAAAAAAAAGAAAAGAGACAAAGATTAACAAACTGAAAAAAACCCAAAAGAATTAGATGGATCCTCACTAGATATCATCCAAAAAAATTGTGGGTAGGGTACACTTACTTTGGATGGATATATATATTGCAGTTGGTAGACAACCAACAAGATATTATTCTGTGATTTTTGCCATGTAGCATCAACAACTACTCCTAGCCTAGGTTATCACCAAGATATCACCAAGGCCAACAATAGGCAACAACCAACAAACAAAAGGGAATTGAGATAAAAAAAACCACCCAACTAATTAATGGCCAAAATCAAAATCAAAGGCCGGTCTTGGATATCTCCCATGCAATTTGCAACAGCTCATCCTGAACGCAGAAACATCTGTAGAGAAGAGCAAATTAAAGTGGACTCCGTCAACCTATCAAACCCTTCAATTGACCTTCCTTAACCAACCTCACTACTCCTAAATCCCAGCCTATTCTTAGCAATGGCTGCCCTCCTCCGTGTCCTCAATCCCCCACCTCCCTCTCTCCTTCCTCCCTGCTATCACTCTCTCTCTCTCTTTTCTTTGTTTTTTTTTTTTTCTTTCTTTCTCTCTCTATCAAATTCCAAAAACCAATGCCATCAAAACCCATCTATGTTCAAGCCTCCTCCTCCTCCTCCCCCTCCAACACTGAGTACCTGTGATAAAAGCCAATTAATAAAGGCGCGCTCCCTGCTCTCAGGCAGCGCGCACTGCCCCTTCCATGGCCCGTTATGACACACGGTGGCCTCTCATCACCGCATTCCTTATAACCTTGTTATCCATCGTGGCTGTTTCTTGGGGCGACCCCGACTCTGACGTCCTTCTGAAATTCAGGGCGTCGTTAGGCAATGATGGTGCACTTTACAACTGGAATGCGTCTACAAATCCCTGCACGGGGAATTGGGTTGGCGTGAAATGCTGGAACGGGACCGGGAAGATATGGGCTCTGCAACTTGAGCACATGGGGTTAACAGGTTTCCTAGACCTGGACACGCTAAGGGGTTTGCCATACTTGAGGGCCATGAGCTTCATGAACAATAGTTTCACTGGTCCCATGCCCAACATAAGAAAGCTTAAAGCGTTGAAGGCCTTTTATTTTTCCAATAATCGCTTCTCCGGCGACATTCCCGACGATGCTTTTGTAGGGATGGGGTGGTTGAAGAAGGTGCATTTGGCCAATAATGACTTCACGGGTAAAATTCCGACCTCGCTTCAGGGGTTGCCCAGGCTTCTGGCGTTGAGGCTTGAGGGCAACCAGTTTGAAGGCGGTATACCCAATTTTCAACAGAAGAATCTGACGACGGTCAATGTATCAAATAATTATTTGGAGGGTCCCATTCCTGAGAGGTTAAGCATGATGGATGTAAGCTCTTTTGCAGGTCAGTCTCCCTCCTCACTTCTGAGCCATTAGTTTCTATCCATTATTGTATCCTTCATCGTCATCATCATCCAGTATGATCATGCCCACCACACCCATACCACCAATTATTTTTATTATTAAATCAGAAGCCAAAGGAGAGAAAAGGAAAATAGAAAGATTGCTTGTGGTTATTGGGCTCAATTTTAGTAGTTCAGTGGTCAAATTTTTCAAAAAAACAAATGCCATTACCAAATATTGGTCCTAGTTTATGGGTCTTGAGAGGTGTTGATCCTGGCATTCTCTTTCTTCTTTTTCATCAGTTAAAAAAAAGCAAAGCTTAGGGTTTACAACCAATATGTATGTGTGGCATATTCAGAGATGAGGAACTGCCACAAACCAAACCAGTTCCACCTAAGATATTAATTCGCAAAAATCAGCTTACAGAGATTATTACACCTTACTATTTCATTGTGATTACTTCCATAGTGAAGATGGTTCCATAAAAGTTGAAGATGATGTTATTATAAATCCAAGGGATCTGTATTATCTAAAACTCACTATAACTTTTTCACGTTTCTCTTAAAACTAATTATGACTTTTCCACTTTTTCTCTTATGACTTTTCAAAACCTCTAGAGAGCCACTTCTTATTGAATTTTATTGCCCAAAACTCATCTTCCGTTAAAATTTCCGTTGGATCATCGTTAGTGATCATTAATAGAAGTTTCCTATGTAACCATTTAAGTATTTTACATAATCAAACTACCTCTGAATGGTCAACCAAGTTTATTAAATATTTTTTTTTTATGAAAAATTAACGCTTGACTTAGGGCCCAGGTCCACATTAGGGCCATAAATTTTAGAGTTGGGCCTAGGCCTGAAGTATTTAATATGGTTGATTGGCCATTTCAGGATAGTTCTGTCAAAAAATTATTCAATAAGGTTGATTAGCCATTCAGAGGCTGTTTGGTTATGTAAAATACTTAATGCTTACATAGACAACTTCTGTTAATGTTCATTAATGGTTAGGGGTGAGAAAATGGGTAACTTCTACTTGGAACCGACCTCAAACTGGTCTTGAACTGATCCTACCAAATTTAATACAGGGTAGGGTCTGGTTCCAAATTTTTGGAACCTACTCCCACCAAAGCTGGTTTCAGGGTCTAGGCCTCTAGGGGTTTACCCTATTCAAACTGAACTTGGTTGGTCTTGGTGGAACCGACCTTGGTGAAACCTGCCTTGAAACCAAACTTGCCTTGAAATAAACCCCAAAATACTTTTCGGGATGGGAAGATTTGAATCCAAACACTCATGGTTACAAAGGCCATGGTCTCACTTGATCATTGAGTAAGTGATTTGATAATTTGTTTTCATTTTAATATTTGAATCTATACAATAAGTAATGTAAAAGGTAATATTTACAAAATTTAAATTTAAATTATAAGTTTTGGACCATATATCTACATATTAAGTTACTCAATTTAATCAATAAAGATAATATAAGTTCTAAACTATGTATTATATTTATTGCAAATCAAGTTTTTGAAAACAGAACTTGTTTCTCTTTCTTTTTTTTTCAAGGGGGAGAGTAAAGAAAGAACAAGTTCCACAGAAGACCCTAGAGCTGACCACAAACCACCAAGGTCAGAACCGACCTTCACAGGGTGGGTTCCGGTTCCAAAAGCTTGGAGCTGACCCCTACAGGCTACAAGCCAGGTTGGTTCTAGGTTTTTCCATGGAACCAAACTGCATTAACCCATGTTCACCCCTATTAACAGTGATTTAACAGAAATATTAACGGGAGATGAGTTTTGGACAATAAAACTCAATAATAGGGGGCTCTCTAGAGGTTTTGAAAAGTCATGGTGAGTTAAAGGGAAATGTGAAAAAGTCATGGTGAAATTTAGATAATATCCCTAAATCCAAAGATAAAATGACTAAGAGCCATGTGATCTTTGGTGTAGACAAACTTCATTATCTAAAGTTCACCTTTGGTGTAGACATTATCTAAAGCTCACCTTCATTATCTAAGGGTAAAATAGTAATCTACCAACAATCATTGGTCCTTTGACATTTTTGAAAAGTTATGGTGAGTTTAAGAGAAATGCTGAAAAGTCATGGTGAGTTTTAGACAAATTTCCTATTTAATAAGGTTGACTGGCCATTCAGGGGTAATTTGGTCATATAAACAAGTTAAATGCTTATGTGGACAGATTTTATTAATTATCACTAATGGTGATCTAATGGAAATTTAATGGAAGGTGTGTTTTAGACTGATAGGGGCTCTCTGAAGGCTTTGAAAAGTATGGTGAGTTTAATAGAAAAGCATAAAAGTCATGGTGAGATTTTAGATAATATCCCAAAAATCAAAGCAGAACCCTACATCAAAAGAAATAATTAGGGAATGGTGTTGGTGATATATGATTAGTATTTGTTTGTTAAAAAAAAACTTATTAATTTGGGTTATGAACTTCTGATCATTTTTAACTATTGATTTACAATTTACAATTAATATAGAAAGCACCACAAAAACCTTAAAAGAACAAAAAAAATGAGGTGCTAAGCTATTGTGAAGAGCTATTGCGACCTATTAGCATTAGCAGCCATGCATCACCTAACTGAAGGACTAAAGTTCTAAATTGCAGTCATCAGAAGATTATAATTTCTTGCTTCTTGAGATATTGCGCATTGCTTGCAAGAAATTAAATAGAACTTCCTCTAGAGACTACACATGATTTTACCATGATTTATATCCATTTTTTTGGATGATCAGGCAACGAAGGTTTATGTGGGAAGCCTCTGGAATCATGCGACTTTAGGAAATTTTTGCTAGAGCTCATCATGATTATACTATGCATTTTAATTGCCATAGCAATCATCGGTATTGTTGTTGCTATTCTGCGACGCCAAGGCCAAACAGAGGAATTGGGTAAGGTTCAAGTAGAAGGCAACCAGAAGGCCTCTTGTGAAGGAGACAAAGTGGAGCGTGGGGTGCCACCGCAAATGCCCGGCAGTGGTAGGAAGGCCGAGAATGGAAGGTTGGTGTTTCTTAGGGATGATAGAGAGAGGTTTGACTTAAATGACTTGCTCAAAGCATCAGCCGAAGTGTTGGGCAGTGGAAACTTTGGGTCTTCCTATAAGGCTGTGCTTTTAACTGGGTCAGCCATGGTTGTGAAGAGGTTCAGGCAAATGAATAATGTAGGAAGAGAGGAGTTCCAAGAGCACATGAGGAGGATAGGGAGGTTGAGACACCCTAACTTGCTTCCTATTGTGGCTTATTATTACAGAAAGGAAGAGAAGTTGTTGATAACTGACTTCGTTGAAAATGGCAGCTTGGCTTCTGTTTTGCACGGTAAGTACTTATTTTCATTCATGCATGATGAATTTTATTGCTTGTATACTAGGGGTGTCAATGGATCGGTTTTGGGTTGGACCCCATCCTAATAAAAAGATCAATTTAGACGGATTGGATGGACCAACATGACAGATTGAATTGATCACTGGTCCAGTCCAAAGTATTTATTGGATTGGACCTGATCCATCCATAATGGATTTATATTGGATTAGGTTGAATTGAACCAATATCCAATCCATTAATAGAAGATAAGAATACATGTGCCAATGGATCAAGTTTGAGTTGGGACCATTCTAAAGTAAAACCAATTTGAACAGATTGGACCCGATCCATTTGTAATGGACTCATATTTGGACTGGATTGGATTGGACAAAATCCAATCCAATTAACACCCCTACTAGTTGCTTGGTGATAGTCATTCATGTGTAGTTACAATTTGATGTTATTGATCAGGAAACCGGACTCCAGGCCAGCCTGGGCTTGATTGGCCGACGCGCTTGAATATCATCAAAGAGGTAACGAAGGGCGTGGCTTATCTGTATGAAGAGCTCCCTAGCCTAATTGTTCCACATGGTCATCTCAAGTCATCCAATGTAGTACTAGATGAATCCCTCAAACCCCTTCTAACAGACTATGGTTTAGTGCCTGTAATCAATCAAGAGCATGCCTCACAATTAATGGTGGCCTACAAGTCACCGGAGTATGAGCAGCATGGACGGACAACAAGGAAGACCGATGTGTGGAGCCTTGGGGTACTGATAGTGGAGATGTTGACGGGTAAATTCCCTGCAAGTTTTCTCAAGCAGGGTAAGGGAGGTAGTGATGAAGATTTGGTGAGTTGGGCCAATTCAGTTGTTAAGCAAGAGAGGCCAGAGGAGGTGTTTGATAAAGACATGGGAGAGACTAAGAACGCTGAACGTGAAATGATGAAGCTATTGAAGATTGGATTGTGTTGTTGTGAAGTGGATGTGGAAAAGAGGTGGGATATAACCGAAGCAGCTGAGAAGATTGAGGGGGTAAGAGAGAGGGACAAAGATGATGGCTTCTACTCTACATTTGCTAGTGAAGGGGATATGATCTCTTCTAAAGGAATGACTGAGGTTGATCTCTCTGTTCTATGAATATTAGTTGAAATATTAGTTGAANGTGGGGAGGGAAAGATTGGTTTTGATGCTCATGCTGTTGATGTCCTTAAAAGGGTCCAAACAACACGATTTCACAGTTTCAATTGTTGTTCAACTTCATAGCTTTCTCCCTGGATTGAAGGGTTGAGAGGTAGGAAGGAATGTTGAAGGGCATAGGGCTTTGTGGTGGTGGGTCTTTCCTTTGTTTTTTTTTTCATCACTGGTGTAAAGTGGTTGGGGTGTACGTGTTGATTCAGGTATTATGTGATTGGAGGTAGAAAAGGAGAGATTGTTTTCATATTATCATCTCTTTACATATATGTGTTTGTTATTTGAAATATTTGTATAGATAGATCAGATTTCTAGACACTAGTTAGAGACTTTTCGTGATGGGGGGATTTTGTGTGTTAATCTTCTCCCCACTAATCAAGGACTTCTATATGTTTCCCACATCTTCCTTGAATTTATGGGTAACAGTAGGCAAAAAAAACAAAAGTAACTAAGCTTCGGAATGGCTCCTGAACCTTACGCTCATCGGATGGTTCAAAAGAAAAAGAAAATAAACTTCTACAAAAGGGAAAAGAAGCCCCGCAAGAACCCTAAAAGACTTTCTAAAATCCGAAAATCAACAACCCCAACTTGTTTTAAATGTGGACAGAAGGGCCACTATGCTAATAGATGTTTTAAAAATAAAACCACCACTAAGAAACTTAATGAGTTAGGAGAAGAAGAAGGTGAGCCAGAAGTCTCAACAAGAGAATCTTCTACCTCTTCAGAAGAATGTTGTACTAACAATATATGCACTTGCAAGAGTGAAACAGATACCAATGAAAAAGAGTCAGAAGAACTCAATGTATTAACCTTAGATGAAGAATATCTTTTAGAGATACTTAATGAGATTCCTAATGAGGAATCGAAGAAAAAAAATATTTTCTAACAGCCTTGCAAAGTAGAGCTAAAAGAGCCAACAATGAGAAACCTAAACAGTTGTTGGACGAAAAAAAATATAATTTCTTATAGAAAATTGATTAGAAGGTCTCAAGTAGAAACCTCCCGACCCCCTACGATACAGGATTTACGGGAAGAAGTCAATATACTAAAAAGAGAGTTAAAAACCCTAAAATTAAGGGTTAACCAATTGGAAGCCGAAAAATTTTAGGAGAATCAATTAGAAAAATCATCGGAACAACTTTCCGCTGAGTTTGTCAGAAACGACGAAGAGTTTATATACTCTAGAGAAGAAGTCAAATACCAAAAATAGTATTCCAAAATTACCATTAGAATAAAAAATTACAATCTCTCAGTAATAGCCTTAATAGACTCAGGCGCATATATCAATTGTATCAAAGAAGGAATTGTGCCTTTTAGATATTTTGAGAAAACATCCCAACAAGTTAATGCAGCAAATGGAAGAAAACTTGAGATAAAATACAAGATCCCTATAGCCCATATCTGCAACCAAGGGACTTGTCTAAAGTCTACTTTCCTTATGGTAAAAGACCTAAGACAAGAAGTCATTTTGGGAACTCCATTCCTGTTATCCATCCTTCCTTGCCAAATTGATTCTTTGGGAATCACAACAACAATAGGAGAAATTTCGGTTATTTATAAGTTTTGCCAAAAACCCAGAACTTCAACTATCAACACTCTGAAAGAAAATGTAAAAGGCAAAGTAAAGCTTATAGTGGAATTATAGTTTGAAATAAAAGAAAAACAACTAATTAAGCATCTTAAAGAGCCTAAAATGCAATTAGAAATTGAAAAATTTCAACCAAAGTTAACATAGGAAATTTGTGCTGAAACTCTTAGTGCATTCTGGCATAGAAAAAAGCATACAATAGAATTACCATATGAAGAGGACTTTAGAGAATAAAAAATTCCTACAAAAGCCAGACCAATTCAAATGAACAATAGATTATTGGAAATCTGTAAGAAAGAAATCCAAAACTTATTAAGGAAGGGTCTAATCAGACCAAGTAAATCCCCTTAGAGCTGCCCTGCTTTCTATGTAGAAAATGCAGCAAAAATAGAGAGAGGAGTACCGAGACTCGTCATAAATTACAAACCCCTCAACAAAGCTTTGAGATGGATTAGATACCCCATTCCTAATAAGCAGGATCTAATAAACCGTCTATACGACGTAGAAATATTCTTAAAATTCGACCTAAAGTCAGGTTATTGGCAGTTTATAATAGAAGAAAAGGATAGACACAAGACTACATTCACAGTGCCTTTCGACCACTATGAGTGGAATGTAATGCCTTTTGGGCTAAAAAATGCCCCCTCTGAATTTCAAAGAATTATGAATGAGATATTCACCCCTTATACTGAATTCATAATATTATATGTTGGTGATGTATTAATCTATTCTTCCTCTATAAAGACCCATTGGAAACACTTGGATATATTCCTTCTGGTGATGAAAGAAAATGGATTAGCAGCATCTGCTAAGAAAATGAAACTCTTTCAAACATAAATTAGATTTTTAGGTTTCCAAATATCTAAAGGAACAATAGCGCCCATGTAGAGAGTGATAGAGTTTGCTGATAAATTCGCTGACGAAATCAAAGATAAAACTCAACTTCAAAGATTCTTTGGTAGTCTAAACTATGTAGCAGACTACTATAGAGGAATAACTCCAGCCAATTACTCGAAAAATGATTGAAGAAGAATCCTCTAGAATAGAGCGATTAGTTCACTCAAACAGTGAGAAAGATTAAACAAAGGGTAAAAACCCTTCATAGTGAAATAGGATATGTAGGAATCCTAAAGCAAAGGAGAGATGGGAAAGATGAGATAATTCGGTTCACTTCAGGAACCTGGAATGATACCAAGATAAAATACTCTACTGTCAAAAAAGAAATGCTCAGCATAGTTCTTTGCATCACTAAATTTCAAAGTGATTTGATAAACCATCATTTTACTCTTCAAATTGATTGTAAATCAGCCGAAGAGATTTTGGAAAAAGATGTGAAAAACCTGGTTTCAAAACAAATTTTTGCTAGATGGCAAGCTATTTTATAGGTTTTCGACTTTGATATTAAATATATTAAAGGATCTGAAAATGCTTTGCCAGATTTCTTAACCAAGGAATTCTTGCAAGGTTATCTAATTAAAGATAACCGATAGATAACTTCGTCTTACTCTAAGTCCTAATTCCAGGCGCCCTAAAAGGACAAATGAGTCCAATCCAAGATCTAATTTTGAGATTGGAGCAAGCTCAAGGACTAATCAGTCCCCATTAATGTCTCCCTTAATTAGGGAACCATCTCCCGCGATGGAAGAGGCTAATTCCAGCCAATACATGTCTAATTCATCAGATTTCGTGACAACTATCTTACTAGAAGAAGCCGCTGCCGTTTCTACTCATGTTAACCCAAAAGAAGCTCTTCAACACCTTGCCCTTTCCATCCTAGATGGGCATCATTTCACTGTCTACGATTAAAATAAGGACCAGAAATATTATGAAGAAATTCTTCTCCAACAGGATCTGCCCGAATTCAACATTATTTTAGGGATTCGAATAAAACTGAACTAGCTTATTCCAAGCTAGTAATAGTCAAATTTATCTCTCTATCAACTTGGGGTAATGCAAGCAAGCCGAAATTCATCACCAAGCCTATTGATAAAAGACCCAAAATATTCAATTACTGGGATTATCAAGACGCTTGGTATAGAGTCTTCCTGTTGCAAAATTTCATTTTCAGACATTCATGGTTCATTCGTTTCTCCGAAGATTTCTAAGGCCCGTACCTTGACTGGGCATATGTTTGGTGGACCTCTTGGGGAGCTTCCGATGATATCTTCCCTTACCAAGAGCTCATGGACAAATATAGAGCCTTTGGTAAAGGAAGAGCTTATCTGGAATATGGGCATGTAAAACAATTTGAGTTTTTCAAGACATTTCGACTCCCCTGGTTTCTAAAATGGAGTTAGCACTTAGATATCTCTTGGATGCCCCCATCCATTGAAAAAAAAAATTGAAATAAAATGGTGGGATAAATTTGATCTTGTAGATGTCCTCAAGCCTACCGCAAAAGAAGACAACATTTTCCAGTCTATCTTTGAATCCTACATGGACAAGGTTCGAAGCAAGTTCCCAGACTTGGACCCACTAGAGCTCGAAGAAATGTCCTTACGAATGGTTGAAAAGATGAAAGAGAAAAGTAAAAGAATCTCGAAAGACCTCGATACAGAAAGTGTCTATTATCTCAGCCCACACCATGGACGAGACACTGTTTGAAGATTCCATCTCATCCGAAACAATAAAAGAATCGACAACTGTTCCTAATAGGACAAGAAGGTGATAAGGAAACATCTCAATAATTAAGATGCGCAACTAGAAAAGACAAAAGGCATCTCAATTATAGACACCATAACAATAAGGTCGAATAAAGGAGTCTCACTCTGGAAAGCTCGACCACCGTTATATAAACCACTCTCCTCTCAAAGCAAGGGTGTGCAAGACTTTGGGTGCTAAACTTGTAAAATTTAAGATATAAATTCTTGAGAGCATTTTAATCCTGTTTGAGTGTTATTTTAGAGTGCTTTGTGAGAAAGTCTATAATCTTTGTGAGAGTATCTACTGTTGTATCTGTGTGTGCTGTGTGTACTATATCTCTGTAAGTATTATTAGATTTCTAAATATTTTCCGAATACAAATTTTCTTTGAATACTGTTTATTTCTCTTATCTTTTGCATAACATCTCTCTGCAAATCCTACTGTTCATTACTGTTCATCATCCATACTATTCAGCATATCACTACTATTCATATCAGTGCCTACCATCACTACTATTCAGCATATCACTACTGTTCATATCATCCATACTAAACTTGTAAAATTTAAGATAGAAATTCTTGAGAGCATTTTAGTCCTGTTTGAGTGTTATTTTAGAGTGCTTTGTGAGAAAGTCTGTAATCTTTGTGAGAGTATCTACTGTTTGAAGATTCTATCTCATCTGAAACAGTAAAAGAATCGACAACTATCCTTAATAGGACAAGAAGGTGATAAGGAAGTATCTCAATAATTAAGATGCGCAACAAGAAAAGACAAAAGGCATCTCAATTATAGACGCCATAACGATAAGGTCGAATAAAGGAGTCTCACTCTAGAAAGCTCGACCGCCATTATATAAACCACTCTCCTCTCAAAGCAAGGGTGTGCAAGACTTTGGGTGCTAAACTTGTAAAATTTAAGATAGAAATTCTTGAGAGCATTTTAGTCATGTTTGAGTGTTATTTTAGAGTGCTTTGTGAGAAAGTCTGGAATCTTTGTGAGAGTATCTACTGTTGTATCTATGTGTGCTGTGTTGCAAGACTTTGGATGCTAAACTTGTAAAATTTAAGATAGAAATTCTTGAGAGCATTTTAGTCCTGTTTGAGTGTTATTTTAGAGTGCTTTGTGAGAAAGTCTGGAATCTTTGTGAGAGTATCTACTGTTGTATCTATGTGTGTTGTGTGTTCATTAAGAATGAACAATATCTACTGTTGTATAACGGTGACTATATAATAATAATAATAATAATAATAATAATAATAATAATAAGTCATATAAATAATTATTAATTAATGCTCAATTCATTAAAAATAATTATGAAATTAATTATTTTAATTAGTGATATAAATAATTATTAATAATTATTTTAAAATTAATTAATTAATATTACTATTTTTTTATTGATTTCATTTTTTATAAATTATGTTATATTCATTTTATTAATTGTTAATTAGTTTGTTAAATAATTAAACAAACTTTCTCATATCCAAGGTTAAAATGGTCAATTGTCTTTTTTCATAACTTATCATTCATATTTCAAAACAACATTCTCTACATTTAGGCTTCATAAATCATAACCGAGAAAGTTCAACTTTAATACACCTCAAAAAATAATTATTACAGTTTCAGATGTATTCATATATTAGACTTCAATGCAAATGAATAGGTCTAAATAAATACATATTATTTTTAGAATAATCGGATCTACCGGATAAGATCCAATAGGACCTGACTATTAATTGGAATTGTTCTAGGTCCATTCTTTTGTCCCAATTAATAATCAATTCGGGTTTGGATCTACCTAGAACCAACCCACACGCAACTGTTGACAGCCTTACAGGAGCAAATTGCTAACTAGCTAGTTAGTAAGGTTTCCTACTGGTTGTAATAGAGACTTGAGATCAAATCCCGCCTACACGGCTACACCAAGGTTAGGGGGTTATGGCTGGGTTTGAGGAACGAAACACCCCTGTTGTGTAGCCCCTGATGGGAGCAAAAAAAAGTTAGGATCTCCTCCCAACAAAAAAATTCCCAATACATTCCAACATTATATGCGCCTGCACTGTCCCACAATAATACTACGATCCACCATGCATTCATAAGATGTGCGTTCACAGATCATGCTGATTTTTTTTTTTCTTCTGGGAGGAGATCCCAATTTTCCCAAGGCCATTCATGTAGGGATGCAACGGGCGGGCTTAGGGTCAACCCAAGCCCAACCCTAACTGTGAAGCCCAGGGCCTACAGAGGATAAGAACAAGATGCTAAGCCTTTGGGCTTTGTATTAACATTTACCAGAACAGGATTCGTATAACCAACCCCAAAAAATATATAGTTGGTATTCGGGTCGGTGGTCCAGCTCCAATAGATCGAATCATTTTACAAATTTGATCTGATCATCAAGAACACACTTCCAGTTGATTCAGTTAATGCTAATATGATATTCAAATATGATGAATCACATTCATGGTTTTTAAAACCGATCCGGAGACCAAACTGGTCAGGGGCCGGTTATCGGGTCGAACGGTCAGCCCATTCTGACAGAAAATAAAAAAATAAAATAAAATAAAAAATGGTCAAAACCGTTCAAACGATTCGAACGGTTAATCGGTGGGTCAGCACTTTGATGACCAAAATCAATGGTTTTTAGAGAAAATCCAGTTTGGAGGAAAAGAGAACCAGTCACCTGACCGATTCCAAGTTTTTCCGGTCTGATCGTCCAATCTGATCCGGTTTTAAAAACCATGATCACAGTCATTTCAAAATTCAAACCCGAATATTAATTGGATCTAACTTACGTGATCTAAGATCTAACCTGTAACCACACCCCTTTTCATTCATTTATGTACTCTGATGATGAAGATGAAGGGCTAGAAGCTTAGCTAGTACACCATAGTTATCATCTATAGAAGGATGCCCGAAAATGTAACTTAGTGAGGTAAACGTCAGCATTAATCAGATGTCTCTCCCCAAATCCCAATCCCCATATCAAGCCACGCGACTCATGACACAGACATCGCCATTCTTCTTTTTCTCCCTCTTTCCTTGGAGTCTCTCTGTTTGATCTGCCCATTTCTTTCCTCTCTTCCTCTCTTCCTGATTGTGTCTCGCGATCGATCAAAAGCAGCTGAGTTACTGTTTTCCTCCAGATTGTGTCTCGCAATCGATCAAAGTTGAGGAGTTTCACCGTAAAGAAAAAAACAAACAGGTTCTTCCACTTCCTTTCTCCTTTATTTGATTCTCAATTTCCCTGTTTATTTGACTTTGATTCTATAGAAGATAAATTTCTGCATCTGAGGTAGAGAGAGAGAGAGTTTCAACTTGAGGATCCATGAATCAAACAGTTGAACCTTAAAATTAAGATGAGGTGATCAGATAAAGCACAGGGGAATGAGAATAAAGTCTTGAAGATAAGTCATGCATCGCCATCGGTGATAGTCAAAATCAAAATCCTTATCCCACTCTTTGGGCTGGGGGAGGGGGGATGGAGCTTTGCAAGTAGAGTCCATATCATCAACTAAAGCACACGAGAATCTTGGAATCTTTCTGACTTGTTCTTTGATCCTCCCACAAGTATATGTATAGGAACTAATTTTGTAATTTGATCAAGATGACTGACTTAAAAGCTATGACCCGTCAAATTAATTGTGTATTTGATCATCCAACGATCTTGAATGCATCATTTCTTTTGCTTGTAGCCCTAAGAGCTTTGGTTTTGTTCGGCCGAAGAACCCACTTAATGGAACACTTGCTTTCAAGTGGGCCGTGGGCCCCCATTGAGATAGCACCGAACAATTAATACCCATACAAATGAAATATTTTATGCATATTGATATTATTCCCACCTTAAGTCCTTAACCACATAGAGACAGGGCCATAGGAGGACGGATTATAGTGCGTGACGTGTTTCTTCCGTGGAGTTCAGGGGTGGGGGGCATGAATCATCAATGGCCATCATTCAATTCAGTGGGTTTATCGTTTAATAGGTATATCTACACAATCATTTTGCCTACCCATCGGATTAATATGGACTCAAGGTGGATCTGGGCTGGGCTGTAATTGGCCCAACCCATTTTGTAGCACGTTCATTCAAGAATTCCCTATATATTACTACAGTCCCTAGGAGATGGGTTCCTACATTTACATCTGAGCATGTAATGGAAACATCTTTTGTATTTGTCCTGAAGAGATATTTTCAATGAGGTAAAGTTTGAGAATGCTTAAAAATAAATGTTTATTTTTGGCCAGGACCACAGTTATAAGCATTTATTGGCATTTGGGAAATAAATCCAAATAAATGCTTATTCAAAAAACCCAAAATTCCAACTTATTCTGGACCTCCTATCAACAAAATACCTTTCAACACCCTATCAACATCATTTTGGAGTTGGTCTTCATAAAATATGTTCTTACACAGTCTAACAATAATTGCAGTCGTGGATTAGGAACATCTTCCATGAATAAAAAATATAAATAAGTGTTGTGAGGACTGAATCCACCTTTATTTGGCAGGAGATCCCAATTCGTTTCTGATGCACGGTTGGGATGTATTGTGGGGTGCGTCACCGAGCCAGCCCAGAGTCTCCAGAGTCCGGACAAACTTGCATCATGATACTAAAAACGCAGGCTTGGGCCTGTTTTCCGTGAGTAATTGTCACTTTGTCAGCACCAAACTGACCTGAAGCCCGTTGCAGCTTGGTCCATTAAAAAGCCATTGTGTAATGTAAGTGGGTCATGTTGCTTGCTGCTTGGGGCATCAGCATAACTACCATTCAAGTTGAGAGGTATATCCGTTGTGGTTTCAGATGTTCAAAATTCTTCCGGGAATCTCAAGCTTAACCCTTTTCCTCCTCCTTTAAAAAGGAAACAACAGAATACAAAACAAAGAAGCATACCAAGATCATCACAAACTCTCCTTTCTTCTTCCCTCTGATTCTCCTCTCACTTCGTGATTTTTTTTTTTTGATCAATTACAGCTTTAGTGGTCTTGTCAAAACAAGCTCAATAAAGGGAAAACAAAAACGAAAAGAGGGAGAGAAAAGAAATTGGAGATCAGTTCGTTCTTCTAGCTTTGATGGCAGGACCCCAATCCCATACAGAATGTGCGAATGGCAGTGCTAACACATCGATTTTGGCATCGGAAGGGGTTGAATTCCTTTTATCTGCTGAAGGAAAGGTAAGCCCGTATTCCCAACCTTCGTTTTAAGCTTAAATCCTCGTTGAATCGTTTAAGCTATCCCTTATTTCTGTCCTTTTTCTTTAAATTTCTGGACTCTGTTCTTCCATGTTTAGTGAATTGGGTTTCTTAGACTTGTAGTAAGCCTATCTTCAGGTTGTTTTGGTTTTTGGTATATTTCTTCATTTACAAATGGTCTTCTCTGTTTCTCTCTCAACAAGTTTCAGCCAAAACCCCTGCCATACGACCAAACTAATATCTTTTCTCAGGAAGTATTTTATCCCAAGAAAAGAAAGACAAATTGAAGTTTTAAAAGGCTAATATCAGTGAACCAAGAAAGCTCAAATAAATAGAGAGCCATGGAAGAAAAGCTTAAGAAAAAGAAACAGCATAAATAAGTCATTTTGATATTTTTTTTCGGACTAGTGTTTTTTTTTTTCTATGTTAAGAGAAGAATCCAGAGGTTCGTTCATTTGATGGAAGGTCTGGATCTGACAAATCTCAAGTTTCTCTTTTGTAATTGAGATAGAAATTGAAACTGTTCCATATAAAATTTTTCCTTCATTCTGCTGCCATGAAATAATTTCAGTCCAGTCACCTCTGCCATGCAGAAAATATCAAATGGATGGTGTTTTCTGTTAGGACAGCTCTGACCCTCGCAGGCAGAGCTGACCTATGCATGAATTTGATATGAGCCTGTAAGACATCTTCTGTCTCAAACCAATCTATATCCAACAGACATTTTCCGACCAGTTGAGTAAATGAAATGGTGTATGTTTCCAACTCTCAACAGTATAAACAGAAGATGGCAGTACTCTATAATAGAAACCTGATCTGGTAGACAAATTATTAACTTTGGTGTAAGATATAAAGGCATTAATGCATCACTCCTTCAATACATTTTCCCTACTCCTTACTATGTTAATTGAATATAAACAGAAATTTAATGTTCTTCACTCTGAAATCAGGTACCCTTGTCATCGCTTGAACAGAAGACAATCTATCTTGTCTTCTCAGCCAATTGGTGTAGACCATGTAGAAATTTCATTCCACAATTGGTGCAACTCTACAACACTCTTAGAAAGACAAATGTAAAGCTAGAGATCATCTTTGTTTCCTTTGACCGGGATGAGAATGGCTTTAGAGAACACTTCAAGTGCATGCCATGGTTGGCACTCCCATTTGATGTGAGCTTACGAAGACGGTTGTGTGATCGCTACCATGTCGATCGTATTCCCTCACTTATTCCATTGTGCATGGAGGGTAAGCTGGTTGAAGAAGATGCTGTAGAGCTGATTGAAGATTATGGGATTGATGCATTTCCCTTCAGTAAGGAAAGAAGAGAAGAATTGAAGGCTATGGACAATGTGAAGCGCCAAGGAGGGAAGCTGGAGGACCTATTGGTGCTTGGAGAACGAGATTTTGTAGTCTCTGGGAGTGGTGAAAAGGTGAGTACTACTCTGGTACTGCCACCATTCCTATTGTTATTTTAGTTCTTTAAGCGGATTTCTCAATTTTTCTATTGTTTTGCAGATTCCAGTTTCCAGTTTGGTAGGTAAAGCAATTGGGCTCTATTTTGGGGCACACTGGTGCCCCCCATGTCGTGCCTTCACTGCACAACTCACTGAGGCTTACAATGAACTCAATACAACCCAAAATAAAAACCTTGAAATAATTTTCATCTCAACAGATAGAGACCAAGAGGAATTTGATCTCAATATTCGTACTATGCCATGGCTAGCGATCCCTTATGGTGACAGGACCCGCCAAGACCTCTGTCGTATATTTGACATCAAGGGAATCCCAGCTCTTGTCCTCCTAGGTCCAGATGGGAAGATCCTCAACACAAATGGGAGGGCCTTGATTTCCTCTTATGGTGCAAAGGCATTTCCATTCACTAAGACAAGGATAGATGAGATTGAAGCTGCATTGCGAAAGGAAGGGGATGCATTGCCCAAGCAAGTGAAGGACTCGAAACACGAACATATACTTAAGTTGGATATGGCCAAAGCATATGTGTGTAACTCCTGCAAGGGGCAAGGGAGATTCTGGGTGTTTTCTTGCGACAAATGTGACTACGACCTGCATCCAACATGTGTAGAAGAAGCACATTAGAATAATGGAGGGGTCTGCAAAGTTTGTAAGACAGACTCACTTAGTATAAATGGACTCCTTTATGCTAGTAAATGACAGAATATTTGACAGATTATAACCCTTCTTTGAATATATTTAGAGACAGATACACATATAGATCCTTAATCTCCATTAGACTATAAAATCAAATTACTAGATGCGCTTGATTGTTGGTTGTACCTTGTTCAGTGTTGAGTATTTGATTATGAGAACCAAATTGATTATCTGCACTTCTAGATTGCTGTGATTATTCTATCAGCTCAGTTGAAAAGCACAATTTTTTAGGCACCAGAAAGGTTTGTTCTTTGCCCTGCTTTGCCTTGAACAAACTTATTTTATTCTGATTGTATGTCTTGGCACAACCGTTGGGTTACTCCATTGCAACCTAGGGTTCAAATCTTGGAAACAGTATCTCTATATGTGCAGGGGTAAGGCTGCCTACATCTGTCCCTCCCCAGACTCCGCATTAGTGGGAGCCTTGTGCATTGGGCTGCCCTTTGTACGTCTTTAAGCTTGAACTGTAATTTGGTAGCTATCTTAGGACCTCAATTAGGGATCTATAATTTACTAAGCTACAGGATCTCCATTCCTGATTAGAGTCTTAGGGCGTTCTACAATATAAAAAAAAAAAAAAAGAAAAACAAACAAAAACAAAAACATGTTCTTGAAATCTGTTTTTGTTTTCAAAGTGGAAAACAAGTTGGTTTTGTTTTGAAAAACAATACATGTTTCTGGAACCAACAAAATACTGGTTTTCAAAACAAGGGAAAATTCCTGATCAGTACTCTAAACTTTAGGGGTTGTGTCAAGTTAGTCCCTGAACTTCAAAACGCGTCTATGCAGTACTCTAAACTTTCAGAATGTGTCTAATAGGTCCTTGCTGTTAATGGTCCATCAGTTAATTTTGGAAATGCCAAAAATACATATCAGATGTCATCTAATTTTCTTTATCTGCCACTTCCACATAAATCAATCCAAATACAAGTAACTGAAGTCAAATCTATCAGAAGGTTTGTTTATAGTTAATGAAATCAAAACTATCCATTAGAAGGTTTGTTTACAGTTAATGAAGTCAAATCAAAACTATCCATCCATTGTGATGCAACATTAACAATCAACATAACCTTTCCCTTGTAAATGCTAAGATTGACATCATTTCCCCTTGCATCCTAGCTAAGATAGGAAGGTTGCAGCAACTATTCAAGATGGACTTCAAAATATACAGGAAATTTTCATCAACTACATAAAATTTTACAAAAATTAAAGAATATACAGGAAACTGTAGCAATGGAAGTTTCAGCCGTTCCAGAACTTGGTCAGTTCCCGACACTGTCGTTGGTTCATTCAAATATGTTTCTGGCACTGTCGTAAATTCTTGGCATCGTTGTAGTAATGGACTCATGGTGCAGCTCTTCAATCTCAAGGTAGAAGACAGTGGGCATTGTCTTCTTTAAAGGGTAGTTTTGGTATTTTAAAAGTATTAAGTGGCACATGTCATCACGTGATACAAATAACTGACGGACTGTTAACGGCAGGGACCTATTAGACACATTTTGAAAGTTTGAGAGTATTGCATAGGCACGTTTTGAAATTCGGGGACTGGCTTGACACAACCCCTAAAGTTTAGGGTACTGATAAGGAATTTTCCCTCAAAATAAAAACAATTTTTTTAGTATAGAAATTATATGATTTGTAGAACATGATGTTGAATAGTCAGATGAGATCATACATAATTTTGAAACCAGATTCAATTCAAGAACATGTTTTTGGTTTTAGTTTTGAAAAAAAAAATGTACACAACAAAGAACATGTTTCTTGTGTTTTTGTTTCTTGAAACAATATGTTTTCAAACAAGATTGCCTTCATTTGTTTTTGAAACTGGCAATAACAAATACAATTCATGTTGTAGAACACCCCCTTAGTGAGCATGGCTACAAATTCTGGTTCTTCCAATGCACTCAGATAATACCATGACAATAATGAAATTTCCCAAGAAGAGCAATCTTTGACCCACAATTTATGGTTTGTGACAAAGATCCTTCTTAACTCATAAGTTTTATTTACTTAATTAATTATTTTGTGGTGGTGGTTGGTTTTTTATTTAATCTACACCTCATTTTTTTTGTATATTTTTCCTTTTCTTGTATAGCCTTCAACTTACATGGATATAGTCCTTGATGATAGATTTGTCATCATCATCATCATCATCTAAGCCTTGTTTTATATAGGGTATATGAATCGTGTTTTGCCATTTTGTTCTTTTCTGTCCACCCTCTTCCAAAAGGATGTGGGAACTAGGGGTGAATTCAATCCGATCTGAGCTGAGCTGAATACTTAGCTATTTGAGCTCGAGCTTGATTCAAACTAGAGATTTGAGCTCAATCTCAGCTCAGTTCAAAGTTCACAAGTTCGAGCTCGATTATAAGCCCCGTTATTTTTTCTAAATAATAAAAAATATACATATAAATAATGTTTTTATTTTATATACAAAAAATAAGAATTATAAAAATTATTTACCATTATACATAAAAAATAAAAATATTATTATATAATAAAAATTATTTATTATATATATTTATACATATACATATACATATACATATACATATACATATACATATACATATACATATACATATACATATACATATACATATGCGTATACATATACATATACGTATACATATACATATACATGCATATATATCAGGCTCGAGCTTGGCTCGAAGCTCGATAAACTGAGCCGAGCTTTTCACGAGCCGAACTCGAATAGCTCGTGAGAAGCTCAGCTCGTGACCACCCCTAGTGGAAACCTTTGTCTATTTAACATTACAACTAGGCATTGTGATGTGTCGCTTTTGGGGATTGCCCTAGCAAATATCCTTTGCCCATTAAGAGCTTGTCTTACACTGCCAATCCCAAACCCGAACAATGGAGGAGGGTTATGTCAAGTTGGTAGCCCGCACTAAAATTTTTGCCAATCTCTCATGGTAAAAAATGTATATATTCAAAAGAAAATGGGAGAGAATCATGCCAATTCTCAAAACACCAACCCCTTTATACATGTCGTTTAAAGGTTGACATATTTCAAGTTGGAAAAGTACCACATAAATGGCTGGCCATAAGCTTCTATTTCTTAAAGGCCAGAACTAACAGAATCATTTCTTGCTGGTTCTGATTCTGAGGATCTGATGCAGTTCTTTGGTATCCAATTCTCATATTCTTTTTGGCAGTGAAACCAAACATTAATTTACATATTTTTAATGTCTAGTTGAAGAATCAAATTATTTCATTTGAAGATCACCTTTACAGACCTAACAGTTAAATAAGTTGAGCAAGGCAAAAGACTTTCAGAATAATTATAGCTTCGAAATTATGATATTCTTTGTATTCTCCCAAGTCCCAATATGTCATTTCCCATAAATTCAGGCCTACAGAAATTGTGCAGATCTCAAGCCTATATAGATTGTATCCAAGAGCTAAAAATTGACCCACAAGTGTTCTATTATCTTGCAGTTATTATACCGTTTTTTGGCATCCTGTTCTTGTATTTTGTATGATCTTCTGTTGTAGACCTAGGGGTGGGAGATGCAGGTAGGGGTGTCGATTGGACTGGGTTTGGTCCAATCCGATCCAGTCCAATATGAGTCTATTACAAATGGACCAGGTCCAATCCAATCCAATGAATAATTTGGACCGGTCTAATTTAATGTTCGGATTGTCTAATTTGTTCAAATTCATTTTAATTTAGATTGGTTTCAACCCAAATCTGGTCCATTAACACCTATATTATATTCTTATCCTATGTCAATGGATTGGATATTGACTTAATCCAACTAAATTCAATATAAATTTATTATGGACGGATCATGTTGAGTCCAATCTAATAAATGTTTTGAACCAGATTGGTCTAATCCACTATGTCTTTTCTGTCTGTCCAATCCATCCAAATTGATTTTGGACTGAACGGGGTCCAGTCCAAAATCGATCCATTGACACCAATGCAGGTGCCAGAAATATTGGGAAATTACAATATGAGGCTTAAGGTGTACAAGGTAGACCAACAGATGGTTTAAAGATGCGACATGTTATTTAGAGGGGTTAGGATTTTTTTCATTTGTTGGTTGTTTTATTTTTTATATTTTATATTTTATTTTTGTTTTGGTTTGTGCTATTTCAGGTTGCATAGTAATGCTTGAGAAAAAGATGATAAGGTAATGGCGCAAGTAGCCTTGAATGGAAGTAGTCCATCCCCCAATCCCCATCCCCTTCATGCCCGTTCTGAACTCCAGCTATCGCTACTTTAGAGATTATAGAGAGAAGAGGTGAAGACAAAATAAGAAATCGATTTAGCTAGTAACAGTAATAATGGAGATCAAATCAGCCCCCCACAAAATTGCCCCCCACAACATCCTACAGCACATTCTCACAGTGTATTGGAAACATCTCCCGATGATAATACCAAAAATGATGATGCATCGGGAGATGTTTCCAATACATGGCGGGGATGTACTGTGTGACGTTATGGGGAGCAATTTTATGGGGGGCTGATTTGAACTCATAATAATGTCTTATATCAAGAAAACTAAGGCCAAGTTTGGGGGTGGTTAAAGATAAATGAATATTTGAATAAGTTTTGGACCGGGATCACACTAATAACCACTTATTTGTGTTTGGAAAATAAACCCGGATAAGTGTTTATTCTTGAGAATAAGTGCTTATTGAGAAGTCAAAATTTTGAGCGCATTTTTAAGGAAATTGAATTTGATCCTCACCAAACCGTCCACGGAGCCCCTTGCAGCAACTACATTAAGCTTGGCTTATCCAAGGATCAAATTGTTTTTAGGGTATTTTTAAGTGTAAATTACAAAGACCCCCTTGTACTATGACCATGAGATAAAGACCCCCCTTAACCATTAAGTCAGATGACAGAATGTATTAAATTATCAAAATACCCCACTAAATTTTTTCTATTTTCTTTTTTTTTTGTCTTTTTTCTCTTAAAACCTATTTAACCTATTGTTTCTTTTTCTGCACGCTGCCCTTCTCACTCCTTGGTTTTTGTCACATTTTAGTGATAGAAAATTACCTTGAGCTCGCGTGGCGAAAAACACTAGTGCATGAGAGAAGGGCTATCGTGCACGTAGGTGAATGTGGCTGGGCAAGCGTGCTTGAAGAACTCTGTATAGGTGGACGCTTTGCACATCTCCAGACTATTGTAATGGTTCCT